AGTTCAAATTAAGTGGCTACACAGCCCTTAATTTGAACTAGTTAATTCGAACTAGGCGTTAGTCCTCGTAGAATGAGGTTTACCTAGTTCAAATTAAGCGCTCCGCTAGTTTGAATTAAGTTCGAACTAGTGGATCCCTAGTGTAGCGCCTATCAAAGTTAATTCGAACTAACGTCTGTTAGTTCAAATTAACTTTGTAGTGTAGACATACCCTGAGTTCTTTGATACTGCCTGGATGATCTTCATTGAGTGGTTTGTATGCCTGGAATAAACCAGGTTAGAACTTTCCAGATGGAAGATATGCGTGAAACACAAGACACTGCTATGTGTCCTTGTGCTGCAAAATGTGCACAGCTACAACTGTTCATTTCCTCGTGGAAGTGAGAGGGTGCTCAATAGTGGTCTATGTAAGCTCCAGCAGCCTCACTCCATGGAAAGGTTGAGATTTTATTGTGGAAGTGAGAGGGTGCTCACTAGTGGTCTATGTAAGCTCTAGCAGCCTCACTCCATGGAAAGGTTGAGATTTTTGCTTATATATGTTGTCTTGGAGGCATAATATTTAATATTAGTTATTGCTACACTTTTATAGTATTTTTTTTCTTTTTGGTTGTTGTATGACTCCATTAAATCTTCCTCATGCCATGCCATGTATTTATCCATTACTATGACTAAATTCAGTAGCTTCAAACCATGCCTTCCTGCAGTGGCAAAGTGGCTGTAAAAGGTAAATATGCTTTTTCTACCTCAAGGAATGGTGATTTCCAGATAATTCTTTGAGTGTAAAATGTTAACCAAAAGAGTAAGTAGAACATTTTAAACTTATGTGGGTATTGTCCCACAGCACTGATCTTATAGAGCAGAGTGTCCAAAGCTTTTAAAAGCTGGAGAGCCTTCCTTCTCCTCATAGGCAACTATGCCATGAATTATAAAACTCTTGGGCATCTTAAATTACAGATCTTTGTGCCTCCCTTCTCCTTCATCCCCAATACACTTGAGCACTTCAGGACATGCTGACATCTCTTACTGTAATACTTCTCCATTCTTTCATGTTTCAATGACTAGTGAAATAGTTAGCATTTTAAACTTCTGTTTGAGTTAATGTCAATTGAAATGGATGGGTCAGTCAATAGCTCTGCAAATGGAGGCAGATAGCTCTGCATCAGGTTCATTCAGGTGCTCAAATATAATTATGAGACTTTATTTAAAAAAAAGAAAGCTGTGACTTTGGGAAGCAATTTTAAAGTTTTGCTTCTGCTTCCCTTGGCAAGTCTCTGGACTACCTGTAGGTTATGCCTCTGCTTTAGTAAAATTGATCTAGAGAAATTGAAATTGATGTTGACTGGACATTTTTGATGAGAACCACACAATTATTTAGGGAGACGATGTTGACTGGACATTTTGACACTATGGTGATGAGAACCACACAATTATTTAGGGAGAGAGAGAGATTCTGGAGTTGTTCTGAGTCAGGAACAAGCAGTCAAATGGTTTTTATGCTGAAGAACAGCTCAAAAGTAAGGACTGATTAATTCATCCTATATAGGTCAGAAGCTAACTGTTAAATCATTCCCTAGTGGTTCCCCAGTCTTGCATACCCAGAAATCCATTGCTGTAAATGCACATTAGGCTCTAGTATTGAATGCCACTTCAATGTTAAGATAAGGTAGAAGGCTTGTTAAGTTTTTAAGAGGCTATTCTTCTGAGTACTGTGTTTTCCAGCATTGCTTTTCCTTAAGAGTCATGGAAAATGGTGCGGGGGGGAAGGGGGAGAACCAACAGTTTTGTAACTCTTCTCAGCATATCTAAGCAACAGTGATGGAGTGTCTACCCCACACATGTCTGATCAGGGCTAAGGTGGCCAATTAACGGCCCACTCTGCACCTGGAGGAGGAGCCAGTGAACAGAGATCTAAGTTGATTGCAAGCAGGCCCACCTTTGTAGGAACAGGCAAGGCCGATAAAGCCAGATTGGGAGAGGGATGGGAGGTGCTACAGATGGTGACAGTTGAGAAAGGGCAGTCATGCTCTGGAAGAAGGAGGGCTAGAGGGATGCTAGGAGAGACTTCAGGAAGGCAGGCAGCAGTCATGCTCTGGGAAGAAGGAGAAAGCTTTTGAGCCGATACACCTGGAGAGAGAAGTGGAATCAGGGTTTAGGAAGCAATTCAAGGAAGGAGCAGGCAGGGCAGTGAGAGGATGCCCAGGACTGCTGAGCTGAAGGTCCTCGGACTAGAACCCAGGAAAAAGGGTAGACCTAGAGTTTTCCTATGAGCTGCCAAGGACATGGCATAAAACTGAGGCAGTGAATGAGAAGCCTGCCTAGGACTGCTGATGGACAGTATCCTGGAAGGGTTGCAACTCTGCATAACCTAGCTGCAAGGCTAAGTCACAAAGGAGAGTCTGAGAGTCCTGGAGCAAGAGGAGCTGCAGACAACAGTCAGAGGGACAGCATGCAAACCATGGATGGGGGCATTGTCCTCCAGAGCTAATCACCAGAGTGACCAGGAGAAGATGCTACAGTAGAGCACTCCATGACATTCACATTGACCCCAAAGATATCTAGACTCGCTCTCCCTGTATTCCAGCTCTTTCATCTGCTTTGTGACTCAACTGGGAAGGGTAATCTGGATCAACTCATAATTAAGGTCTCCACGAAAAGGGTAGACCTAGAGTTTTCCAGCTCTTTCATCTACTTTGTGACTCAACTGGGAAGGGTAATTTGGATCAACTCATAATTAAGGTCTCCACAATCCAAGTATGTTGTTAGTTCTAGAAATGGTTGAAATTGCATGCAAATTGTTACATTTGTAGAATATATTGTTTGATAAATGTGTCATGCATTCTTTTAACAGAATAAGGACCAGATCCTCATTAACTGAAAATATGCTTTCTAATAAGTTACGCTTTGATGGCAGAATTCTGTCAAGGTAATCATAAATTTCATAGAACCCCTTTTTAAAATCAGTGAGTAATAAATTATATTCTTTTGAATATTAGCATAACTGAAGCTTATTACATATCTCTTTAGAAGTGTGTTCATAATATATACATTGGAGCCTTGCAGTGGGACTTGTGCTCCGGTGGGCCCCGCAGGACCCACTGCCATAATAGCGAGAGTGGGTAGGAGTGAGATTAAAAATAGTCCTGGGAGGGAATCTAATGTACATTACACATATATGTGAAATTTTAATTTTCATAGGGAGCTGTTATATACTGACATAGTTTAGAACAGCCTTGAGGCTCATTTGACCCAATGGCTCCTTTCTGATGTCTTTTGCTGTAGCCAGTTCTTTCTGGACACAGCTGAGCATTCAGCCCATTAGCTTCAAAGATCGTGATGAACATAGCTGGTCCTAATACATGTAGTTTATTCGTTGACTTGTGAAACTTCTGCAAAAACACCTGTTTTTGGATGGAATTTTAGATACAGAACATAAAATTGAATGTAGATACATGTCTGGGTCCACAAGACAGATTGGACAATATTTAAAACTAAGCTAAAGCAATCAAAAACATTAATATTCTTAAAATAATGATTACATAATATTGTAGGGCATCTGCCAACGAACTGCTTTTAAAGATGTTAACTTCAAAATAGTGATCTATTCATCCCATTTCAGTTTGAAATAGACTACTGTAAACACAAAACTCAAATGGTGTTTTTCAATTACCATTCTAGGAATGGACGTGATGCTTGCAGAGAGCTGATTGGATTCTTTTTTATGTATGACAGATCTCTTACTGTATATGAATATCGACAATTTGGAAAAAATAGGTAAGATGAATAGCTAATAAAATTTTTCAAGAAGAAAATTCTCCAGAATATATCCAGACAAATTACTTTCAAGTTTATTTATTTCAGTTTATTTTAAATGATCTTACAGAACAAATGCCCTACCTTTCATTCAGAAAGGAGTTTATAGTCACCAGCGTGGACAAAGAAAAGGACAACAATATGATCTTAATGACTTACATGTTGTAAGTACTTTTTTATTGAAATTATATAAACTCTGCTGATGATTGGAAATGCCACTTGGGTTGCTTGAATTTAAGGCTGAAGCGAGGCCTCTAACCTAGCATTTGAGGGACTAATTCAATTTCTGCTGCAATCAATAGATGCCTTTGCATTAACTTCAGCTTGCTTTGAGGCCCTAAGAATTAAAGAGTTTGGATTAGAACTGGCTGGGAATTTTTGACTAACCTATTTTATTGGAAAACTAGCCAATTAGCCTGTCATAAGACGGGATTTTCAGGTCTCTCCTCCACCTTGATCTTCTCTCCTGAGCCTCCCGTCTCTTGCGCCGTCTCTCTCTCTCGCTCCTACTGTCTCCCCATCTCTGTCTCAGCTCTCCTCCACCTCCTGCCTCTCCCTCTTTCTGCCTCTCTCTTGGTCTCTTTCTTTCTCTTCTCCCCCTCCTGCCTTGCATTCTCCCTTTCTCTTCTCCTCCTCCTCCTGACTCTCCCCACACCCCTTCCCCTTTCTCTTCCCCTCCTGTCGTGGCGCTCGGCT